CCTTCATCTCAGAAAGTTGACCTACAACGGGTACGCTTATCTATGGGTAAGAGGAGGAAATGGTGGCCTGATGACACAGGCTGCACCGGGGTCCTTGTCCTGGCCTCCCCCAATTGAGCCCAATGGCGATGGCCCCCGGTGGTCTCCGCACACATGAGGTCTGAAGATGGCGGATCATTGGCCCCACACCCAGCCATGGCCAGAGAACTAGAGGGGGCCTCACAGGCAGGTAGCTGACTTGTCACAGAATGGAAGCAGGACTGCATGCACCCAAGGCCAGCCCCGAGTCAGCACGGGAAGTCTCTGTTTCAGGAGGATCCCCCCAATCTAGCCCCTAAGAGCAAAGCCGTCAATGGGGCCACTGTGAGATGTCATTCACTTGGTACCGAGAGCCTTGGGGTGTCTGGGTACCCTATGTCACTGTTCGACTGCTTGTGCTGGCCGCCTAAGGCTGCTTTCCTGGGCTCATTCCCTTCCCCACCCCTCGAATGTGCCTGTTCCCCTCCATCTGCTCTTCCGGGCAAGCTCCCCCACTCTGGAGGCGCTGGCTGTGCGCACACATCCGGCTCCCTCTTGCCCAGAGCCCAGAACCCTGGGCCCATCTGCCTCTCAGGCCGTTCACTCAGGAGACCCACAGGCACCCCAGCCTCAGCATGGCCAACCCACCCGCTCCCACTCCCTGCCTCTGAGAATGGTATCACCACCACCCCGGCTCCTGAGCTAGAATTAGGAGTCCTCCAACGCCCAGTCATCCTCAACACCTCCCTCTCACCCCCACATGCAATTGGTCATCAACTCTGTGGATGTCATCTTCAGAAAGGCTCCTTGGCACACTCTTGCTCCTGCCCCCATGGGCAGCATCAGAAGGCAGGACCTAAGAACTTTCTGGCTCCAACAGCTGCTCCTCCGGGAGGCTTCCTTGCCCCTCTCCTCCCATCCCTCACCCTGCCATGGCCAGAGGGGCCTTTCTGAAACCTGGGTGTGCCCATCCCTGCTCATAATCCTTCCATGGCTCCCTAATTTTCTTAGATAGTGGCTGACACCTCCAGGTAGTCTAAGGTGTCTTGCCTGTCCTAGGCTGACATCCGTGTGTCCCCTATGCCCACCACTGCTCTTTATAAGCACATGCTGACTGGCCAGCTGGTTTCTTCCCCCTAATCTAGAAAGTACTGCCTGCCTTCTCTTATCCAAATCCTGCATTCTCTTCCTGGCCCACCTCCTCTGAGAAGCCCCCTTCCTCGTTCCTCCGTCAGTACATGGTAACCCCAAGGCCCTCCCCAGTTTCCATGGTACTTTGCTTGTCTCTCAGGAATCCATCTGCTTTCACTTTCTGACTCCTCCCCTAGACTTCCAGCCTCTCCAGGGCAGTGGGCTGGCCCTGTCCATCACTATTCACTCAGCCTGAGTGTGTGGAGTTGGTTAATGTGCGCTATACACACACTGAATGAAAATGAGCAGGAATGGCATCTCTGTCCCCAAGACCCTCATCTAGAGTGCCTGGGTCACCTCCCCCAGGAGGCTTGCACTGCATGCTTCTCCCCAAACTTGTTTCTGGTCTACCTGCTGCCCTCAGCTCAGTGGGGGCCCATAGGAACCTGGGTGCCATGATGAGGAGGCCTCAGTCTTGTGGGGGGTGCTGTGTTCTGTGGGAAGTGGGCCCTGCAGGCCGTGGCCCGGGGCCTCGGTCCTCCACCTCCATGGTGAGCAGCCTCTAGGATTTTAATGCAGGCCTCAGTGCTTCAGTGAAAGCTGCATGGGGAGCTGCTAATAATGGCACTAAAATAAAATATGCTACATCTGTTATGGGTAGCAGAACAAAATTAGCTGCTCACACCTCTGACATCCAAGATGTCTTAACTTAAAATACTCCTTGGCTTACTTTACATCATTTACTGATTATATTTAAAAGAAATACAATTTTGCAATTACTGTTCTTTCCAGTGTGGTATCTATGCATCATTTTCCTTTTATGTTTATATATTTCTCCTTCATTAGTGCAGTCTGAAGGGTGATTAGGATTCTTCAAACATTTTACAGAGGTTAAACGTTGATTAAGATTTAATTATTACTGTAAATAGCTTGGAATGACATATGGTGCAAAAGCCTGACATATGTGCATTTGAATAAATGAAGTGCTATTTCCCAGGATGCCTCGGTAGCTGTTTAACAGCTTTCCCGAAGGGTTATGTTACACCTCATGGTAAGATTGCTGGGATGTTATATTTTGTTGGTTTTTGCAGCTGAAAGCTAAGAACAGTTTTCCAGTTTTTTAAAAACATTGAATATTTTAAATACCTAAATTGTTTTGCACAAATTTTTGCTAATTTGTCTAACTAGGTTAAACATTTTCAAAAGCATTTAGATTTTTAAGCGTGGGCGCTGTGCATTGTGTCAGTGGCAGCATGGGGACGAGGGGAGCCGGTGGGGTGGAGGGGACTCAGGGGAGAGGGGTGGGGCAGGAGAAGGGGAGGGGCCCTGTGTCCTGAGCCTAGCTCTCATCTCAAGTAGCCAGAATGTTAGGGTATGGAGGACAGGGGATAGGCGCCCCTTCTCCAGGGTCCCATCCATGCCTGCCAGTTCTAATCCTCACCAAACTCCATCTTGCCTGAACCTTGACCTACATACCCTGTCTTGACTGAGCTCCCTGAAATCTCCCTTGTTCGTGCCATCCTCTGGCCACATCCTGAGGCGTCCGTGACTTCTCGTATGGGTGTACCTAGGACCGTGTTCAGCTGAGCTACAACATAAAGGCCTGGTAGTTCCATGATCTTGCCTGGGTCACATGTCAAGCTTGGGGTGGGGTCATCCCCAGGAGAGCAGCTCCCTCACTGGTCTACCCCATGCTATCCCTTCTGGCTCAACCTGGAGCTGAAGGTCGACATCTGGGCTGCTGTGGTTTCCAGAAGGATCTAGTCTTTAGGTGCTTGCTGCTCATTTTCTTTCTACCCATTACTTCAACCAGAGAGACTCTAGCACTGTGCTGGGCCTTAATGTCTCAGAGTGAACAAGGCCCACAGGCCTGCCTTGGGGGGGGGTTCTTGTGATCTGACATCGAACGGTAGAGGGTGAGTGAGCAGTCAGCCCCCCAACTCTGTGATATCACTTGGATATAAGAAATTCAGGAGTCTTGAACCAGAAAGGTTGTCCTACGCAGCCTGGATGAGCAGTGGTCTACAGCTAGGCCTGCAAAGATGACTGAAGACAGAGAAAAATAGGGTGGGGGTGAGAATGGAGGTGGGTGGAGCCTCTAACAGACAGGGCAACCCAGGCAGATTTGGGGTGAGGCAGGAAATAGACCAGTTTGCCTAATGAACCCAAAGAAGTACATATGCCCCGCGTCTTCAACATAATGGGAAGCATAGCAGTGGGGACCGAGGGCATGGGTTCAGGTCACTGAACCAATTTTGAGTGAGGATAGGAGCAACTAGACCAGAGATTCAGAAGGCAGTGGGCTGAAATGGATGCGTCTGTAAGGAGCAGAGGGGAGGGGAGGGGAGGGAGGTAAGGGGAAGGGAAGGGAGGAGAGAGGAGGGGAGGGAGCACAGGGTCTTTGGTTAGATAGCCATTTGATAAGGGTGTTACTGCCCATAACATGGAGCTGGGGCTGGGGCAGGGAGAAACAGCAGACGCAGTTCCATTTCAGAATAGTTGAGCTTATGTACCCATAAAGCATCCATCACCTTTGACCAGCCAGCAGGCAGCTGTTGGACTGTGGCTCGAGGGAGAACCACAGCTGGACAGCCCTCAGACGTGACAGCCACCAGGAACCCAGCCAGACCAAGCCCCAAATACCCCAGGAGGTGTCCAATAGGTGTTGCGAAATGAGGGCAACAGTGACCTTGCAGAGGGAGGTTTTCATAGATAATGGGAACAGGAACCGGATTTGCTGTGGGCTGAAGCCAGTGGGAGGTAGACAGGTGGGTTTGACCAGAATGGACAATTTAAAGAAACCTGGTTGCTGGGGAGAAGAAACACCAGGCCGCAGGCAAGCCTACCATGGTGCAAAAGGAGTCTCCTCAGGCGCAAGGTTCTTATGGCACATGGAGACACTCACGGGGAGGAGTCAGTGGGCAGCAAAGTTCAGAGAGAAGTACATCTAGGAGAAGGCTGTGCAGAGGCAGGAGGAAGGCGGAGCCAGGTGGGTTTCTGTCTTCTGAGGGGGAGGGACAGTCACTGAGAGGGAAAGAAGGAGGGGCAGAGTGTGGACCTTGGTAGGCTATGGGTTTGATTAGGGAAGTCTGCGTGCAGATCCTCACTAGTGCCATGAAGTAAGCAGGCTCGGCAGCTCAGGAGGGGGAAGCTGGGGGTGAGTCGCTGAGGTGACTGCAGAGACTGAATATAGAGCCTCAGTAGAGGATGGGAGATGGATTTGACTAGGCAGTGGGCCCAGGGGTCACTGCTGCCAGCTGCCACAAGGGTCAGACTGAAGTCGGGGACAGCGGATTTTGAGGATCTCTGTGAGGTGGCCAAGTTGAGCGGTAGATGCATGGGCAGACCTCTGAAGCAGGGCTTCTGCCAATCAGGGCTAGACGGATCCTTGAGTCTGGGAAGGAGCTGAAGTAATGGCCCCTGAGGTCTGAGGTGGGGCGCGTGTGTGTGTGTGTGTGTGTGTGTGTGTGTGTGTGTGTGTGTGTGTGTGTGTGTGTACAGAGATGGAGTATCTGAGCCCTGCAGTATTATTGGTCCAGGAGAGCAGTGAGTAGGGTGCTGCAAGGGGGGAGGTTTGAGATGGGTGGGGGGTTCTCAAATGTTCTGGCAGTATGGGGAACAAGGGCATTTGCAATGAGAGAAATCCAGAATCTAGAGGAGAAAGAGACTGGCACTGAGCTGGAAGGGTGATACAAGAGGGAGCACGCACACCCTTCACTAGGACGCATGGGCACTGGCGGGGGGCGGGGCATGCACAGGGACAGAACTGTGGGTACCAGGGAAGTCTTAGAACCACTGCATGTCTCTTCCCAGCTCTCCCCACCTCTGCATTCTTCTCCTTCTCTCCTCAGATCGAAACCTCCCAGTTGGAGCCTGAGATAGCCCGGGCTACAAGCAGCCGGACGGTGGTGTACAATAAGGGGCTGTGAGTGCAGATCCACCGGCCTGGGAGCACAGCAGTATCCAGGCCGGAGGCTTGGGGTGGGGAAGGAGTCTCATAGCTGTGTCTGCAGGGAGGGGCTGCCTGGGAGGCAGCCAACCTCCAGCAGTAGGGAGACTAACCATTCACATTTTAACATGGGGGAGAGGAGTTCTGACACATTTCCTACACGAAAAGAATCAAGTGCATCTCTGGGCCTTACATGGGGTCATCTAAACTCCACTCAGCACAATTCCGTGTGAGCTGAAGAATTGTAGAGTGTTCCTGGGGTAGAATTAGGATCCTTTTATATGTTGCTTTTTTGTTTTAATTTTTTATTAGAAGCAAGTCTGAGCCTTGGTTGCAGTTGACCAGAAGCAGCAGGGGGACAGGTGGAGGAAGCCAGAGGAGCCTTGGGAACTGGGTTGGATCATGGAAGGAAAATATAATGGCTAGGCCCAATGGGCCCCTGGGTTAGAGAAAGGAAGGGAGAGGAGGTATTCGCACTCTACAGAATGAACTAGCCATAATCAGGGTCTCGGGAATTGACTCTCATGCTCAAGGCACACCAGAGACCTCTGGAAGATTCCAGAAGCAGCGGGCTCTGAATGTAGCCAGCTCCTGTCCACACCACAATAGAGTGAAAATTAGTGACCCAGGCATGGGCCATCTTTCATGGAGCTCTTATGGATTCCAGGCCCCTGAGAGCATCCCAGCTGTAATCAGGAAGCCACACGAAGGAACATTGTTTTATATGAAGAAGAAGAGAAACCTGACTAGGCTCTCTTTTCTAAGAGTATCTGGAGTTTTATACTGAGGCAAAGGTGGCTGAGCCCACTGCTGTGCAGTCTGTAGCCTCTGACACTGTAGCATCTCATACCTTCCTGCAGAGGGGAGTCTCCTGCTCGAGGGTACAAGGCCAGATCCCTGGAAACTGCCTGAGAGATAGCATCATCCTCACTCGGGCACTGGCAGGCCCTGTGGCAATGGGCAAGCCACCTGCATCTCTGAGCCTCCATCCCCTGCCTGGAAGCAAATGGTCGAATGGGGGTCCCCACGGGCCTCTGACTCCTCTCTGCCTGATTCACTCAGATGCTACGCATTCCAAGCATATCTCTAAGGTGGATTCTGGTCTGGAAAAGGCATCAGACTCCTCTGCAAATGGCCAAAACTTGATCTCAGAAAAGGACCTTGCCATCTGTATATGACCGCACCTCCTGGAAGACCTTGACATGTGTCAAACATCACGTGGCTATGGAGTTGGCAGCGTGGATGCCTAAGACAAGCACGGGGTGTCACTCCGTGTGCCGCCTCTCACTGCTGCAGACTCAGAGGCTTCTTTGCTGTTCGCTCATGACTCCATCTCATTTGCAGGCCATAGAGGAAGAGTTAGGTCTTCCTAGGGATGCGGGGTCTGGGTGGGGATGAGTAGGGCGACTCCTGATCCAAAAGATCTCCAGAAAGGAGATGCGCTGGTCTTCATACAGCCCTCATCTGACCCCACTGTAATGGGAGTCCTGACCCCGGCACCTCACCCTGGTGACTCAGGAGGGATCAGGCTCAAGGTAGACATGTATGGCACAGGGCAGCAAGGACAAGGCCACAGGTTGCCTGTAGAAATTTAAGGTGGGTGTAGCTGCAGTGGGGTGCATCTGCCATGGGCATTGGCACCATGGTCTCCAGGCCTTGACTGGGGACTAGATCTGTCTGGGGCCTCTTTTGAAAACGTCATTCCCAGCTCTCCCTGCCTTCACTTGTCGTGGAGTCTTGTCCTTATGCATTTTATCTTGGGACCAAAACCGCCCTCCCCCAGCTCTGCCTATTCCAGAGTCCCACAGACCAGGGCCTCTTCCAGCTCTTTCTCTGTACTGGCTGCCACTGTGCTGCCTCAGCGTCCCTCGTCGGTTTGCTGGGAGTGGGGGTGATCTCCTAAATACCAGCCCAGGTGAGCTGAGGGGGCAGTTGCTTTGGATATGCAGCAGCAAAGGGTCCTTCAGGGTGATGGTGACTGAGTCTTGAGCCATGCTGCTGAACCCTGTTCTGACTTCATAAAATCCAGGAGGGAATCTTTCTGTGAATGCACATACAAATGCCCCTATTTGCTGAGGCTAAAGGAAACAGGCCTGGCGGGAATGGGCAGGGATGCACTCTCATTGGATCGAGTTTTGCCAGCAGTTGGGGTATAGCTACATCAGGCTCTCTAGGTGGCCTGGCATTCCTGGCCACTTCTCCTCTGGTTACTTTAAACATTCCCTAAGGCTCCAAGGATGCTCTTCCATCTCTGGAAATTTGAGAGTGCAGGAACCCAAAGTCCAAGATGCTAAGATGGCCACAAAATCAGGGTATCTGACACTCTGTCTCACTTCCTGATTGTGGATGTCTTCCATCTGAAGCCTCTAGCCCGGAATGGGGTGGGATGGAGTGGAGGAGGGGAAGAGCCAGTGGGGGGCAGGTCCATGGTGGGCTTCCAGCCTTGGGCAGGTATGAGCGAGGCCCCAACACGTATGCCTCAGCATACCTAGGGACTTCAGACTGTCTTTTTAACCTCAGAAAATTTCTCAATTTATGTGATTTATGCCATACTAATGAGCTGTGGGCAATAAACATGGATTTAAAACACATGACTGTGGCTTTGTGAATTATAGGATGGTGAGAGGGGAGGAATGAAGAAACACAGAGGGGCCGGGTAAAGGCAGCCTGGGGACTTTGTGGGAATGCCACCAAGGGAAAGTACAGGCTCAGGGTTCAGGACGTGGTATGAGGATGCTGAGAAAGAAGGTGAGTTGAAACCACAGCAGAGGACCAGCTTGGACGGCTCAGCAAGGAAAAGTGGTCACCATGCAAGCCTGAGCAACTGAGCTTAATCCCCAGAACGCTTGGTGGAAGGAGAGAACCGATTCCCAATAGTTCTCGTCTGATTGTCATGTGCACCATAGCATGTGAGCCCCGGTCATGCCCCCCCCCCCGCCCCCGCCACACACGCACACACGTAAAAATAAAGACAAAAGAAGCCCAGCGACTGAATGGTTGCTGGAGACACTTACCTTAAGGAACTGGAACACATTAGGATTTCAGTATATTCTTGTGCTGTGTGGATCCCGGAAACTGGGGGTGAAGAAAAGGGGACCACCCTGGCCTGCCTGTGGCCTGGAGACCTACGAGGGCTCTGCACCAAGTGCAGACAAGATGTTTTCTGTGTGTTTGGCTTCAGCCCTGGAGCTCTGCCCCCTCACAACTCCCTCATAATCCCCCATGTGTTAGCTACATTTTATGTCAATGACACAGCTCTAGTACTGAGAGAGGGGGGCCTCAGTTGAGAAAATGCCTCCATAAGATCAGGTTGTAGAGCATTTTCTTAATTGGTGATTGGTGTGGGAGGGTTCAGTCATTATGGGTGCTGCCATCCCTCGCCTGGTGGTCCTGGGTGCTATACGAAAGCAGTCTGAGCAAGTCACGGGGAGCAATGTGGTAAGCAGCTCCCCTCCATAATGTCTGCCTCAGCTCCTGCCTCCAGGTTCCTGTCCTGGCTTCTTCCGGTGATGGACCTGTGGCGTGAAGTGTAGGTGAAATAAATCCTCTCTTCCCAGTTTGCTTCTGGCCATGGTTTCATCACGACAATAGTGACCCTAATTCGGACACTCCAGGACCAGGACTCTCTCAAGCTGCCCCCTAGAAGTCTACAGGGGGAGGGCTGCTCTCTTCTTGGGGACCACCGAGCATCTTTCAGTCCTGGAGAGATGCTGAGGTAGGTAGAAAGCATGGAATAGCCAGATGCTGGCCTGGCCTCAGCGTGGCCAGTGGCTGTTGTAGGCACTTCTTGTGTGTATGCACATTTGTGAGCATTCATGTGCACATCTGTGTGCACACGTGTACAGAGACCAGAGGTCGTTGCTCAGGAGCCATCCACCTTGATTTTGAGGTCTCTCACTGGTCTGAGACTCACCAAGTTAACTAGATTGGCCAATGAGTGGACCCCAGGATTTGCCTATTTCTGCCTTTTCACTACTGACTCAGCACACATGACTTCTAGCTTCTTCTTCTTTATTTTTTGCTTTTGTTTTGAGACAGGATCTCTCTACATAGCCCTGGCTGTCCTGGAACTCACTATATAGATCAGGCTGACCTCAGACTCACAGAGATCCACCTGCCTCTGCCTCCCAAGTCCTGAGATTAAAGACATACACCACCACACCCAGCCCCTTTGCTTTTTAAAAGTGGTTTTCATCATTTTGCCCACTAAACCATCTCACCAACCTCCAGTGTAGTTTCTTCCAAACTGAGACTTGGTGTCCTTATCTACCAAATGGCAAGGACAGGGCCATGCTGGCTTGTTGGAGAGGCCAGTGGGGAATGCACCAGACCCTTCTCTCATGCTTCCTAATTATCCAGGGTACAGGTAGGAAGCTTGGGCTCTGTGCCTCACTGGAAGGGATGAAGAGGGAAAAGGCAAGAGGGAGAGGATGGGGTCTCTATTCAAAGTGATACCTGAAGCCAGAGGGCTACTGGTCTCTGGGGAATTTCTTTGTTAAAAGCCTCACAGGCCACACAGCCCCCAATCAGTGCGGAAATCCTTGACTCTCAGGACATACACAAATCCCTCCTGGGAACTGTTTGTTGTTTTTAGCTAGACTGGGGACTCAGCTCCTGCCCAGCTCTGAGATCATTAACACTTGAAGAATGCAGCCTCTCCTTCCCTGCATCCCCACAGACTGGCCCCGAATCTAGGCTTCTTCCTCCCACTCACAGACTAGGAGAGTCAGAATGTTGGGGGAGGGGGCAGGTGCGGGATCAGTGATGAGTGACCCTTTCCTGAGGCCTGAGGAGCCTGGCTTTATATTCAGAATGGGACCTCCTCCTGCCCCCTACCCCCAGCTGTTGTTGCTCCTACCGTCTCCTCTACCCCCTAACCACCAGTTAAGCCCATCTGCTTCTCCCAAGTCCTATTTCTACCATTTTCTGTAGTACCAGGTATCGCTAATGGCAATGGCCAAGAACAATCCCCACAAACCCACATGCACACCTCTAGGCAACTACTGTCAGCTTTTTCTAAGGTTAGAGGATGCCTCTTCAGTCAGTAGGGTAGAGGTGGAGAGATAGGAAAAGAAAAGAACCGATAGGGGGGAGGGGGACAATGGATAGACTGTCAGGCAATAGTTTCTCCCCGGGGAGACTCCGTCACCTCTGGTGAGGACAGAAGGGCTGCCATCAGTCCCAGACCACCCGACATTGCTCTCATCCTCTTCCTGTGTAAGTATGGGGAGGAAGAGGCATCACAGAAGGCTCTGGCCACTCCAAGAGTGAGTCACATGAAATCCACTGTGTTTCCTGGGGAGGCCAGTGGGACCACAGAGGCCTTGTGGAGAGAGTGGCCTCAGCAGAAAGCTGCAGGGAGGTTAGAGTGGACACAGTTCAGCTGCTGAGGGACAGGTAGGGGACGCTGCTTGGTCATGGGAGGTGACAAAGTCAGGGTGTGGGCCAGCATGGTAGAGACAAGGGTAGAGAGAAGTAAAGTCACTGGGGAGGGTGTGGTAGCAGAGGTGACCCTCTGTTCTGTTTGGGAGACCAAAGATAAAGGACAGTATATATATTTGCACCGACAAAGGCAGAAAGGAGACCAAATCTGCAGGAGAGGCAGCAATTTCATCTCAGGAGTTCTTATGTTTCTGGAAGACAGCCAGGTGGAGATGTTAGGAGACCAGCAAGGGCTGGGTATATAGGCTTGCATACTGGAAGCCAGTTGAGGTGGCACATGCCTGCTGTCATCTGAGCACTTGGGAAGTGAAGGATAGAGGATCGGAAGTGCAAGGTCAGTCATTTTCTCTGAAATATTTGAGGCCTGATCTCAGAGCAAAGCAAAAGACTTGTACGGGATTTATTTATTGACTGCATCTAGGAGTACGTTAGCAAGAAGAGAAGGCCTAGGGTAAAGTCCTGTGGAAACTCCACTTCTGTGGAGAGACCAGAAGCTGCCCAGAAAGCTCAGCGAAGGAGAGCTGAATGGTCACAGTGCGGTCAGGGCAAAAACAAGCCTTGTGGGCTGGTAAGTCAGTAAGCCTCTGGCTCATAACTTGTGGAGGTAATTCCAAGTACACGAATGAGTGCGTGCGTGTGTGTGTGTGTGCGTGTGTGTGTGTGTGTGTGCGTGCGTGCGTGTGTGTGTGTGTGTGTGTGTGTGTGTGTGTGTGTGTGTGCTTAGGCACTCTCAGAAGCCAGAAGCATCAGATCCCCTAGAGCTAGAGTTATAGGCAGTTGTCAGCCACCTAACATGGGTGCTAGGAAGTAAACTCAGGTCCTCTGCAAGAACAGTGTGCAGTCTCAACTGCTGAGCCATCTCATCTCTCCCTGTCTCCCTCCAGCCTTCCATCTTATTTTTTTGAGCCATGGTCTCTTACTAAACCCAGAAGTTACCTATTTGGCAAAATTGACCGACTCACAAGCCTCAAAGAGTTCTCCTGTCTTCCTAGCACTGGGATTTGGGGGGGGGGCTGGGGCATTGTTTATTTTTGCATGGGATCAAACTCAGGACTACATGCTTGCATGGCAAGCACTTTACCAATGAGCCATCTACATGGCAGTATATGGAAGTAATTCTTCAGATTTGGGTGTAAGCTGGCAGAGAGATATGGCTATGTGTCATGGCAGTCTGACACTGAACTCAGCAGGCATAGGAGGAAGACTCAGGCAGGGGTGAGATGGGGCTAAAGGCAGGGAAAAGACAAGAAACCAAAGAAACTAGAGAACAGACAGATTGGAGCCCACTTCAGAGAGCTCTTAGGACCTTCAGGAGGGCCAGGAGGTTACAGGAGGCAGGTGGAGAGGAGGGGATAGATACAGAAGTGTCCAGAGAGGATGGAAAGCCAAGAGTGAGGCCCTGCCCGAGGCCCCTGCACCCTCGTTCACAATCCTGAGAAGTGGGCTCATGGGAGACTTTGAAGTCTGACTTCCCCATTGGGGTCATGAGCAGGAAAGTAGGATTGGCAGCAAGACTGGAGGGCCCAATCCTTCCCAGCCCTCCAGATTTTGTGGGCTTCTCTCTATCCAAAGTCACAGCTCCTGTCTGGGGTCTCCCTAACCAGCTGTCCTTTCCAGGTTCTGCTGGTCACTGCTCCTGCCCCTTCAGGCCTAGGGGCTACACAGCCTTCCCATGGTTACCAAGGGCCATACTGCTCAGGCTCCCCATCTTTCAAGGGGTACACTGGCATGCTTCATGGCTTTTCCAGATTTGTTAGCTGTTCCTTTTTGTCACCTCCCCTTGGTTGCCCAGTTTAAGTGATGCAAAGGCATGCCTTCCAGGGCTCGCTTTTCTCTCTGAAGATGGGAGTCACGAAGTTGGGGATGTAGGTGAGTTGGTTGCCTGGCATTCATAAAGTCCTGGATACAAGCTCCAGTGTCACTCAGGAGGTGAAGGCAGGAGGACCAGAAGTTCATGTTCAATCTCAGTTGTATATTAAATGTGGGGCCAGCCTGGGATACATGGTACTCTGTCTCAAAGGGAAGGAAGAAGGAAGGGAGGAAGGAAGGAAGGAAGGAAGGGAAGAAAGGAGGAAGGGAGGGAGGAGGAAAGAAGGAAGGAAGGGAGGAAGGGAGAGAGGAGGGAGGGAGGAAGGAAAGAGAGAGGGAA